TCGTTTCAATAGATTAAGAATAATATTATGACAATTTTAAAATCATTTAATCGTTTTACTATCTTAAATTGCAATTACTCAATTTTACTATAAATGTATAAAATGCGCAGTCTAATAATGAAGTTACTATCCGAGAGCAAGAACAATTGAACGTTCTTAGAACCGTTTTCCAAATAAAGGTACAATAATAAGTGTGAGACCTAATCGTAACAATCCGAGTGATACAAAGGGACGCTTGAGTAAAGATCACAGTAAAAACCTATCTCACGTGTCGTCTAATAAAGACATTTTTACAGCAGAAAATAGCTGGGTACATTTTAAATCTATTGTTAATATTTATAATTTTGTAATAGAATTTCACAGTAGAATTTCACTGACCCAGATTCGATTTATTTGAAAGTTGGGCGATGCCAGATCTAGCGAACTTCTACCGAAGTCCAATTATCTGACCAACTGTCGAACGTTACTCCAATTACGTGAACAGCTATGCTGGTATTATCGTCTGAGAAATGAATTCACTGAAATAGCGTTAATTATGCGCCTTCCTGAATTAACTTTATTGCACAAATGCACACTGTGAAACCAACGCGAAATATGGTGTTTTTGTACTAGTAAATAAACACATTCATTTTAATACTAAAACATTAAAAATAATAAAAAATAAAATTTATAACATTCCATAGCTGGTAACGAATTGAAAACATTTTTCCTGAACAAAAAATTCACTTTATAAAGTGAATATATATATTTAAGGGTATAGTTAAAGTTAAAGTTAGTTATTATTAGTAGTTACATTTAAATATGTATATATATTTAACTATACCCTTCAGAAATACGCACGTTTTCTTACATAACTTTGATTAGAATTTTATGATAGTGATATAATTGAAACTGTGGGCTGCTAACACCTGCGCTCTCCGCCAGACAGATTCTTCTTTCCCGCAAGTAGCCGATCCGTCTTAGTTTATATACAGAGTGTTCCAAAATTATGGTATTTTCGAGAAATAGGGGGTTCCTGATGTCATTTGAAGTAACTTTTTCCTTAGCGAAAATGCAACTCGCGGCTTCGTTTACGAGTTACAAGTAGTTGGGATGACATATCGTATAAATCTATCCGGTTGTACGAAGCGGAGTCTTGTGGAGTTTTTATAAACGGAGTTCATATTAATGTCCGTTTAATGAAAATCAATTCCAACCAGCACGCGGCACCCGAGTATGAAACGAATACGTCCGAAAGGATTAACCTGCACCGATCCACGTAACAAATCGCTTAGTAACCGTGTTTGTCCCGCTCGGCGTCCCGGATTAAATCGTAAGGAAAGGGTTTAAAGTTTCGATTGCTCGCAGAGGAAGATCTCCATTGTCCGTTCGCAAACTGCGCCCCGTAGAATCTAGACGATTGAAGGCAGCGAGACGAGATCAGCCGCGGCACTAATGCACGTCGAACCATCAAGTTCTCGGAGTTGTTTTCGCTACGTGCCCGTCCTTTCGCCCCCGTCCACGGGTCTCCCTTCATGGAGACTCGCGTCAGTTCCGCTTCGAATGGGAAGAGATCGTGATCGCGTTCGTTCGTTCGTTCGAACGTCGAGCCATAAAATCGGCGAGGCAACCGTTCGGCCCGGGGATCGATTCGCGAAACGAGAGGGATACGGTTTTGCGAGGGATTCTCGTTCCGGTCCTTTCTCCGGAGAACGATCCTCCGGTTCACCGGCCAGCCGTGGAGCCGGAGGAACGCCGACCTAACCAGCATCGGAGAACCACCCCAGCCGATGCGGAAAGACTCGCAGCCGACCCCCGGGAGTCTGTACAACGGGACGGACGTCGTAATCTTGGCCGAGATTACAGCCGGGCCGCCCAAGACGCCGGTTTAGCGCCGCTAATGCTGGCATTCACGACCTTTTATAGCAGGTTTATCCGGCGAGCCGCCTCGAGACACCGACCTTCCCCCCACCCCCACCCCGCCAGATCCAGATCCGATGTTCCCCGTCTTCGCCATTGTTCTTCCGTGACAATCGAGCCGCTCTCTTACGGAGACGACCTTCCACCGCCATTGTTCCCGGCCGAACGTTCAATTTTCTGCCGGGAGTCCCGCGCCCCGCACCCGGCCGCGATCATCCGACGCTGCCGACCGATTTCAGCTGCCCTTCGATTCCAACGAGTTCGTCCCTTTTCGATTCTACCAGCCGATTTGTATTCCGACTTCGGATTTTATGCTCCAAGAACTGCAGGGGCCTTCAAACAAGTAATCCGTGGCAGATTAACCCTACGCACTCGAAGATATTTTAACGATTGTATGCGAAAGCTGTCGGTGTTGGACTTATCCGATAAATAGACGAAAATGATCTTCCATCATCTTCCTCGTCGACTTTATGTGGTATATTTCCGTAGGCATTGACGTTAACTTGTCGAACACGCTGAAAATTTGGATACGTATAACTTTTGAACCAATGAGTTCCGCACAGTGTAACTTGCATTTTCGATGTTTTCTCGGCATTACCTACAGGAATATGCCATAAATGTCGACAAATTTTGGTTACCTATGGAAAACAATAGACCTAATTTATAATAATTTATAATAAATAACTAGTTATAATCGTTAATCATTATTCAGATTTTTTTTTCGTCCGATTATTATAAATCAGTTATAATAACTAACGAGTTATATAAACGTTAATCATTAATCCCATTACTTTTTGCTCAACGCTAGACTGAAGTATCTATAGCAATTTATACGGAAAAAATGAAACATTTATTTTAATTAATAGCGCATAAAAAGAAGGCCACCTGATCACTACTGATCACCTAAGCCTGATCTCATTCTAATAATCATCTTCGAAATTACGTAATGCAGCGCCTCGTGTACTTACTATACTATACTATACTATACTATACTATACTATACTATACTATACTACATTATAGGGTATCCCAAAAATGTCTCGAAATCCAGAAATATGGCGTTCCTGAGGTCATTTTAAGTGACTTTTTCCTTAGCGAAAATGCAATCCGCGGCTTTGTTTACGAGTTATTAACAAAAAACACTGACCAATGAGAGGCGAGCTCGACTGGCACGAGGCGGCCCAACCAACGATACCGCGAAATCCAGTTCCGCTCATTGGCTTGGCCGTCTCACGCCAGTTGATCTCGCCTCTCATTGGCCACTTTTTTTCGTTAATATCTCGTAAACAAAGCCGTGGATTGCATTTTTGCTAAAGAAAAAGTTACTTCAAATAACCTCAGGAATCACCCCATTTCCGGTTTACGAAACATTTTTGGGACACCCTGTATACTATACTATATAAACGGCACTGCTTTACCGATTCATACGCATTCGAATTCCATTGCGAACTACACCATACGCAAGATCGTCGATCCCGGCAACCCAAAACTATGGCGACAACGTACTTAACCCCTTGCCATACCACTTTCTTCACAGTTGCAACGATTAGAAGTTTTTCGATTGTAATAATTTCTAAGAAGAAAAGGAAACAATTTATATAATATTTATTGTATATCTACATTTATTGAAATATCTAAATAACGACGACAAAGAATCAGAATTTTATTCAGACTGAAAAGAACGAAATACCATTACAATACTTAACAGATTATTGCTAGAAATATCCATCACGTGTCAGACTCGTCAAAGCATCGCAAGGGGTTAAAGGCGGTTTCTTAGCCGTTAAACTCTTAACGATTACGACTGGTCCTTACGAGAGTCGGTACCAAGTCTAATATTGGCGGCAAAGATATTCCGTTCCACCGTGAAACTCGCTGGACCGTTTTCGATTGGAAAGATCCTTGAACCAAAGGAGCGCGGATAAAAGGGTAGTTCTTACGGGACCAAGAAACATTGGCGGACCGGTACAGGGTACGCGTTTTCCATCCTCCGTTGCGACAATGGTCGAGGGCAATTTCCATCCGGCATCCGGTGAAGCACGCGACGTGACGGGATGAATCTCGGCCTGTTTGCGGTTGCCGAGAGCGAGGGCTGTATCGCGAACCAATCCGGTTGATGAAAAAGTGGAAGTAGTAAAAGAAGAAAACGATGAGGAGGAGGGCTCTAGGTGGAGGGGAAAAAGGTGGGCCGAGAGACGGAAACGGAAGGCTCCGGCTCGAGTGGAAGCTATTTTCCTTCTGCAGCCGTCTAGTCTCCGCGAGAACGCGGTGTTATTCCGTTACCCCGCGATCACGGCCTCTTTTGCTATCGTTTCCACGTCGGGGCGACGTCCCGGACGTATTACGTTTCACCGGCTCACGTTTCGCCGACTGTTTTCTGTTCGCAGTGCCGCCAGCCAAGCCGATAATCTACGACGCCAAGAGGAGAGACATGAGCAAACTGTTCGAGGCCTACCCGGAAGGTGCGGATCTGTTCCTTGTATGCGAGGTCCACGGAGGTGAGTGTCCGACGGTTTACTTACCCAGATTTACCGCCGTTTGTCTTCACCTGGTTCCGATTCCCGCCATTCGTCTTCCGAAAAACTCCTGCGTCGTGGTTCCTGACGCAAGCTCGGCCAAAAGTGTTGATCTAGGTTGGAGTTTGCCAACGGGGCTGCCACTATTCATCGGTGGGAGGATCTGGAGACTTTTAATCCTATATCGGAGTCAGGCTCGACATTGACTTTTGCATAGTTATCTTGTATTAATGTATTAGGTCTGCCGGAAGGTTCTGTCCGTTTAAGAAATGAAAGGAGATAATAGATTTTTCATAAATTTAGTAATATTTATTGTACAATATAATTTCCGTCGGTACTTATGGCCTCTTGCCAGCGCGATGGCAATTTGCGAGCAACATTTTTCAAAAATATATGTCTCAAATGAACGTGTGTATACCTATCGAAATTTGCAATGACATTATCAGACAGAACTTTCCGGTAGACCTAAATAATTTGTTTTATATTCATAGTTTATTTAGAGGGTGTCTAGTTCTACCGGAATATATGTTTTGTTTTTCTTTTGTTCGAGTTAATTTACGTTAATTTTCAGATCATTTATTTTTTATTCTTAGAGTGTTTCATACTTCTTCAATCTTGAAGTGCTACTAATATCTTGAACTAGATTTTCTGCTAGCTTGTTGCTACGATTAGACAGTCTGCCTTTGTACCTGCTGTAGTATAGTAGCATTTCTTCTGCCACTGTTGGTATATTTAGGTCATTTCTAATTCGATCATTGGGTATATACATACCAGGAAACGTTGACAATGTTCCGTAACGTACTACATACATATATTGGAATCTCTGAATTATTTGAATACTAGAATTAGATGCTACTATCCAGAGCTGGATTCCACACGTCCGCACAGATTTTCATCCCCTGACATATCACTTCCTTCGCAGTTACTGCGATTAGAAACTTTTCGATTGCAATAATTTCTTAGAAAGTAAACAAAAATTGATGCTCATTGTGTGCCTAAATTTATTTGAATACTGAAATATTGATAACAAAGAGATTAGAATTTTATTCGAATTTTAAAGGACCGAACAACATCTATGCTCGATAAGTAATTACTAAAAATGTTCACGACGAGTCGGATTCGTCGAAATACGGCAAGCGGTTAATAAGCATTTGTACACCAGTATCTTGTCGTCTAACGCGAGTTGAAACTTTTTGCAAGGCCTTAACCCTTTGGGTACGGCTGAATTCTGCGCGAGGCTATTTCTCTGGACGGCAGAGTCTAATATGTACTGTACAGAGTCTGATACTGTGTATTCTGTCTGTATATACAGGGTGGCCCAAAAATGTCTCGCAATCCGAAAGTGGGCGGGTTCCTCAGGCCATTTGAAGCAACTTTTTCCTTTACAAAAATTTTCTCCGAGGCGCCGTTAACGAGTTATTAACGAAAAACAGTGACCAATGAGAGGCGAGCTCAGCTGGCGCGAGGCGATCGAGCCAATGTGTGGAACTGGGCTTCGCGCGCTGGTTGGCTGGGCCGCCTCGCGTCAGCCGTACTCGATTCTTATTGGTCACTGTTTTTCGTTAATAACTCGTTAACGGTGCCTCGGAGAACATTTTTGTAAAGGAAGAAGTTGCTTCAAATGATCCGAGGAACCCGCCATTTCCGGATTGCGAGACATTTTTGGGTAGACCCTGTAGACTGTTGTAAATCGATGTGAAGACAAAAGAAGTATGAATCAATGCATACGAAGACGATTATTTGGTTCAAACGATGAGCGAGTGAGCTACCAGAGCAAGTCACTATAGTGGCGTGTCGTCCAGAGAGATGACATCTGCGAAAGCCACTATAGTGGCGTGTCGTTCTAAAAGATGACATCTGCGAAAACCACTATAGTAGCGTGTCGTTCTAAAAGATGATATCCGCGAAAGCCAACTATAGTGGCGCGTCGAGCCTAAAAGGTTAAGTTCCGATTTTATTCGATCGAAACAGCCGCCATCTCGTTCGAAATCCCGCGAACAGCTTTGAAAGGAGATCGTTCATTCGATCACCCATAGCTGTTAATTACCGCTCAAGCCACGGACTCGTAACATCCACAAACCCGACGAGTTAATTGGCTCGTAGGCGACGCAGAGAGCTGCCGTCTCCGATACCGATCACGAGGGTAATGGATGGCCTGCGGAAAATACTGCGGGCCACCGGCCGGACGAATTATCATAAGTAGCCGCGCTTATAACAGGTAGAGCCCCGCGTTCATCCGTCACACTCGATCAAAATTTTGAATCGAGCCTCGCTGACCGTGGAAAGGAAAACATGCCCGCGGGTGCACGCGATGGAGAAATGCATCGAGCGTGGAGAAACTAAAGGGTTTGGATGGACTGAAATTCTTAATAATATGAGACTTTTTACGAACAGTTTCACGCAACTTAATAATCTACGACTCTAAGTAGAGCAATTTGATAAACGCACCAATTCGTTGAAAGGAGACCATTCGTTGAAAAATTTGATTGCGATCTTGCCGATATTATCTTCCATTACGTTTAGCTGGATCGCATTGTTTAGCTTCGGACGAAGAACTCGCGCAGACCTGAAATGAGGCCACACGAGACTATGCAGCCCCAGTGCATTCCCGCGACCGTAAAATCGACGATAGCTCCGCCAATGCATCGAATTCCGATCTGCGACTCGCTATTATTTATTTCCAGAAAAGAAATGTATTTTCCGGACCGATTGCTCGAGTCGGCGCGCATAAACGGCGCTGGCCGATTTATTTATCGCTTCGTTTCCGGCGTCGGATACCCGGGGGCCCGGGCTTTCGAAAAATGGCGTCCCGCGGGGTGGAGGATGTGTCGCCGCGTTAGGATAAACGGAAATCGTCCCACGCGCGGTAATATCTGGCTTGTCGTGCCGCGACGTCTGGCAACCGGAGGAAATCCGTGCGCGGCGCGCAGGCGATCGCGCGTAAATCGCTGGAAAAGAGATTGCGGAGGCGCAAACGTCTTCCGAATCTTGCGTACCGAACGAGAAATCCTATTTCCTTGAACCGCGAGTATTCACTGGCGCGAGGCCAATTCCATTTAAAGACGGCGTTCGCGTACTCGAAACGAAGTAGGCGAACTTGAACGAGGACGGCGGATAGGGGATGGATGAGGGTGGGCTGCCGAAAAGGAGGGGTCGCGAGCCGCACAAGAGTCTCGGAAAGAGTCCAGCTTCGTTTTTCCGGGACTCCTCGCGGCCGACGGTGTCCAAGCACCCGGGGATCGCGATTCTGGAGCCACGCCAATTTTAATCCACGAAACTGACGTTCGCGCGGCACGAACCTCGACGTCGTGCTTCGTGCTCGATCATCGGCCAACCGAGTCACCGCCATCTTTTTCTGATACGTCCCACGGAAACGCGGGAATAACCGTTAGACGCATTCATTGTTTCCGGGCGCGATACCGCGGCGAGAACTGTCTTCCGCAATACACGGTTCGTCGGATGAGTTCAAAGCTGTTGCCTGAGACTTTCCATCTTCTTCGAACTTTTACCTAGCTACATCCACTTTTTCGTGTCGCAATGTACTTACTTCGCTGGAAGTGTCAGCGTTAACCTGGTTGCCATTTGTTTTGTATCGTCTCTCCTACAAGCAGAGTTCGGCAAACTTCGTTCGATGCACGAGCAACAGAATAAGAATAACATTTTTATTCGTTATTCGCGGATAACGAATTATTTCGTTTATTCGGTAAAAGTTTGTTCGAATGAGAACAACATTTTTATTCGTTGTTCGCGGATAACGAATTACTCCGTTTATTCGATAAATGTTTATTCGAACGAGAACAACATTTTTACTCGTTATTCGCGGATAACGAATTACTCCGTTTATTCGATAAATGTTTATTCGAACGAGAACAACATTTTTACTCGTTATTCGCGGATAACGAATTACTCCGTTTATTCGATAAATGTTTATTCGAACGAGAACAACATTTTTACTCGTTATTCGCGGATAACGAATTACTTCGTTTATTCGGTAAAAGTTTGTTCGAATGAGAACAACATTTTTATTCGTTGTTCGCGGATAACGAATTACTCCGTTTATTCGATAAATGTTTATTCGAACGAGAACAACATTTTTACTCCTTATTCGCGGATAACGAATTACTCCGTTTATTCGATAAATGTTTATTCGAACGAGAACAACATTTTTACTCGTTATTCGCGGATAACGAATTACTCCGTTTATTCGATAAATGTTTATTCGAACGAGAACAACATTTTTACTCGTTATTCGCGGATAACGAATTACTCCGTTTATTCGATAAATGTTTATTCGAACGAGAACAACATTTTTACTCGTTATTCGCGGATAACGAATTACTCCGTTTATTCGATAAATGTTTATTCGAACGAGAACAACATTTTTACTCGTTATTCGCGGATAACGAATTACTTCGTTTATTCGATAAAAGTTTGTTCGAATGAGAATAACGTTTTTATTCACAGTTATTCTTTGTATTTAAGTATGTTGAAATAAAAATCGTCGTCTTAAATTCTAACTATGTGATCATAACCAAATATCGAAAAATTAACGATATTCAGAAGAAATAAGTTCAAAGTAGCGCTTATGCCCGCAGTGCCTGATTTCCCATTTTGAATGTTGAATTTTTGATAACTGCATTCGAATTCGGCAGCCTCGAAAACAAAAGGGTACCGATTTTTGTAAAAATTGTACGATGTTATGAATTATGTCCGACTTTGGTCATATCAAAAGAATGAAAAGAAAATTAAATCTCGCTGTGACCGAAATTCTTTTAAATTTCGAATTCCTCTTGTCCCATGGCACGTTCGCCGCGTATCATAATTGCGAGCTGTGTGCCTAACACAGACCGTTGCAACGTTTGTTCTCTCGCACTGATACAAGCGAGAGCTGTACGACGCGAGGATACGAAACAAATGGATACGCAGCTTTGCACTTAAACGAAGTAAATGACCTGACACAAATTCACTGTTATTCCGTAGCG